AGGAGCGAGGCGACGATCCCCGCACCGTCGTTCAGCTCACGTAGTGCATATCGGTTAGAACAATCGTTGTGCTTGTTGCGTGGCGTTCGAATATTCAGCTCTCTTCATGGCGATGTAGTCAGCTTGAAGCGCAGTCTGCGAACGCCGAGATGCTTGGTTCCGGCAGCGGCGATGTTGACACAGGATATCGACCACGCTGTCAACAATCTCCACAGCAGGCCTATGCAAAGTAGGAGGCCTTGCGACAATGTCTATCCTCATAGATTCCCGCGGCGAGTTTCAGATCAACCACGGCCCGTGGCGCATCGGGAAAGCCGCGTTAATCCGCGCTCAGAATACTCCATGTGGATTGTTTGTTACACCAGATCCGGCGACAGCACCACTGCGGCGCGGATAACATGGCAAACCGCATCAAGCGCCATGAAACCTGAGATCGGGGCGTTCTAGATGTGGCCCAGTGGAGTCCCACAAGGCCAGAAGACGCGTAATTGCTTTTGAGATGCTGCGAGGCGAGGTATCGTGGTGGCATGGTCTAGGGCTGGAGGGCGATTGGTGTAGCCACGTCGTTCTTGTGCGACTCTTGAGATTAGTTGTCGAGATGGTGGTGTTCGAGGTAGGAAGAACAAACAAACAGGCTAGATGTCTTTGATTAGTTTATCGAATCTCGATGGCCGCGAGTTCTTCCCGTGGGCGTAGACTACCCCAGCAGAAGGAACGTGCCAATTAGTATACTCGTAGCGTTCATGCGAGATCGTATGTATAGCGAGCGATGTGTTTGTTCCCCGGAGGTGGTGTGTAGAAAGCCGTTTGTTGGTGAATGTTGGGCAAGGGGCTCCTTGCGATATATGTGCGACCCCATGCAGTTAGTCCCCGATGCCCTGGCTGCCGGATTCGCTCCTGCATGTGAAGAGAAGCGACCCAACGATGACACGGGTGTCACCAACGTCAATATGGATGGTCGTGTTGCGCAATGGAGGACGAAGGCAGACGACATATGCAGGCGAAACAGCGCTGCAGGCAGTGGAAGGCTGACGGCATTCCAAGGACTCCACTTGGTGCTATCAGAACTTCATTAACGCGACTAGGCGAGTCTCCGTCAACCGTCGCATGGACTAGCTCCACCTTTATTTCCAACACGAGCGACCCATTCCGAAGATTGACAAGATTCCATTTGCAATCGACGAGGTGCGCCCGTGGTGTGCGTCTCGTCAGCTATGATAACAGAGATTCGGTCCTAGATACCCGTGGACAAGAGGCGACTTCCACAGGTCGTGGCTGCGGGCGCCGGCCGGCGACCTCCGAATAGCGCGTCCGCCCTGATACGCCAGGGCTGGCGTGGCTTCGAGGGGGAAAAGCATGTGTATGCGCCAAGATGAGGTGTCGCGAAAGGCGAGCTGCAGTGCCCGGGACTTCACGACGTTCCCCAGGCTTAGGCTGAGGGAAGCGGCCGGCCATCTTCACGCGCAGCACGCCGAGACAGCCTAGCTTGCCGCGAAGTGGAATCGCATGGGCCGCGCGACTAGTCCAACTAAAGCAGGGCTTGATCGGCCTGATATGGGTCATTGGTTCTTCGCGGGAGGTCGAACGCGACAGGGTTGGTCGTCGCCGCTGGTCCTTATCTTTTTGGTGCGGGATACGCTTTCATTCACATCCGCCGTCCAGGCCCTGTGCTACGAACGCACCCTGACTTAAAAGACTCGCTTCGCCTTCACTGGTAAATCGAGCAGAGCTTGACGTCGATCCTCTCGCCGGTCTACTCCGCATCAACTGTACCTCTTCATCGCACACAACTCAACTCAATTTTGCGATTATCAACCGCGGTGCCGTCGAGAAAAAATTCTGCCACAATGTCGGGCTTTGTTCACAAGGCCAATGGCGCGGTCGCGCGCTCCATCGTCGGACGGTACTTTCGCCTCGAGGGATCAGGGCATGTATGTATATCGCATGTCGATAGTCGGTACATGCACTAACAGCCCTATAGCCCAAAGAGCGCAAGGGGAGCTACTTCTTCACTGAGTTCCGCGCGGGACTAGCCACCTTCTTCGCCATGGCTTATATCATCTCTGTTAACTGTATGTCCATTGCGGGATGTCGTTGACAGAACCGCATCTGATGACCATGTGTAGCATCCATCGTGTCAGACACTGGTGGTACTTGCGTGTGCCCAGGCCTCCCGGACGACCCCATTTGCGAGACCAACCCACAGTACGCCCTCTGTGTCCAGGAAGTCAGACGTGATCTGGTTACCGCGACGGCTGCCATCTCCGCTTTGACTACTTTCTGCATGGGCTTGTTCGCCAATCTGCCCATTGCCCTGGCTCCGGGTATGGGGCTGAACGCTTACTTTGCGTACACCGTAGTTGGTTTCCATGGTACAGGTACGTTGCACCAATGCGCCATTCCCCGTTCCCGTTTATGTATCCCCGTTATGCGGTTCCCTAATTGGGTCTGCTTACCGGCGCCACGGGTCGTACCAGTTGATCTTCATGGAACGTTGCTAATTGCTTTTTAGGCATGGTCCCCTACGAGGTCGCTCTTACTGCCGTATTCGTCGAGGGTTTTGTCTTTGTTGGTCTTACTATGCTGGGTATCCGACAATGGCTTGCACGAGCTATTCCTGCTAGTATCAAGCTTGCCACCGGTGTCGGTATCGGACTGTACCTGACTATTATTGGTCTCGCCTACTCCGCTGGTATCGGTCTCATCACCGGTGCTCAATCGACCCCTCTCGAACTCGCCGGTTGCGTTGCCGCAGACCAGGTTGATGGCGTCTGCCCAGGAAGTGTCAAGATGAGGAGCCCAACCATGTGGATCGGTATCTTCTGTGGCGGTGTCTTGACCGTCATGCTTATGCTGTACCGCGTCAAGGGTGCCATCATCATCGGCATTCTCCTCGTTTCCATCATCTCGTGGCCTCGCCCAACAAGCGTCACCTACTTCCCGTACACCGAGACTGGCAACTCCGCTTTCGATTTCTTCAAGCAGGTCGTTACTTTCCACCCGATTGGCAAGATTCTTGCTGTTCAGCAGTGGAACATCTCGGAGCATGCTAGTCAATGGGGTCTAGCTTTCATTACCTTCCTCTACGTCGATATTCTGGACTGTAAGTTGCGTTATAAAAAGACTTCTTGAGCTATATACTGACATCACTAGGCACTGGTACTCTTTACTCCATGGCTCGTTTCTGCGGTGTCATCGATGAGCGCACCCAGGACTTCGAAAACTCCTCCATCGCCTACTCCATCGACGCTCTCGGTATCAGTATCGGATCGCTTATGGGGTGTCCCCCAGTTACTGCCTACATCGAGTCTGGTGCTGGTATCTCTGAAGGAGGCAAGACCGGTCTTACCGCCATGTTCTCTGGTCTCTGCTTCTTCATTGCCATCTTCTTCGCTCCGATCTTCGCATCCATCCCTCCCTGGGCTACCGGCTGCACCTTGGTAATCGTCGGTTCGCTTATGGCAACCTCGGCCAAGGACATCAACTGGCGCTACCTCGGCGATTCTATCCCCGCTTTCCTCACTATCGCCGTCATGCCCTTCACATATTCCATCGCCTACGGTTTGATCGCCGGTATCTGCTCGTACATCCTCATCAACACCACCGTCTGGCTCATCGAGAAGGCTTCTGGTGGTCGCATTGTACCTCCCAACAAGGACGAGAAGGAGCACTGGACTTGGCGTCTTGAGGGTGGTCTCCTCCCCCCGTGGATGAAGAGGCTCACCAGCGGAAAGAAGGACTTTTGGCGATCTGACCCAGAGACTATGGGTGTTGCAGAGCCGCATAGCGGAGGCAGCTCGGCTCACGATGACAAGGAGTTTGTCACCGATAAGCGAGCGTCGTAGACTGTGTCTGCTTTGATATTGAGATTGTACATGGGAATTTGATAGTCATTTTGCGACCTTTTTGTATACATGGCGTTATTACGTCGAGGCGCCTTAATGCGCGCCGACGCGGGTAGTTTTCTTCGATTATACCCTCACTTGTATCTGATATAGATCGGATTTATTACAATGGTACACTAAAATTCACATCTTCATCCTTAGAATTTTCGCATGTGATCACATTTGGATCATCACAAAGTGAGATAACGCCATGTTCTAAAGCCACCAGCGCACGACGTCTGACGTTCAGCCCATCTCGTACAAGGATATCCAGACTTGTCAGACATCGCTCTTGCAGCAGGCGCAACCTGAAGCCACATCGGCAGCGCCACATCCGAGTTACCGACCGAGGCAAGAACCTTGAGATGTCAATAACCGTTCAACTATCGCTCTTTAGAACTACGTAGATTACTACCCGACTGCAACCACAACGTCCATGATGCACAGTCATACGCTGCCTAGACGGGCGCTGCGTGACACCGTGCTTCATACGTCGCACTTCAAACACGCTTGCGATCCTTATCATTGCCGCTCTTATCTTCCCTGTCCTCATCCTCATCCACCGCGAAGTCGTACAACGCCAATCCGCCACTGCCTCTGCCCAACGACTTGTTAGAGGCATACATACTGGCTGCAACACCGTCGAAGTTTCTACTTTTCTACTTTTGCAGACTGCGAGCGGGCTGGTCGTCGTCTTGGAGAGGCGCTGTAGGCTTGGTGGACGATTTCATGACGATGCTGGGCGTGGGCTCTACGGGAGCTGCTTCGATGTCTTCTCTTCCATATCATCAAGGACAGACTGTCATGTGTAGACCGAGGACCTCGTCTTGCGCGAGGAAAAACTTGCGGCGCAGTTGTTGATCCGACTGCTGGATATTGCAGACGCGACCGAGATCCAGAACGAACTGTGCAGAAGTAGAGTAGGGGGGTATGCTGGTGTAAAGTGAAACGGAGTGAAAATTCTCTTGCCTCCTCGCATAGCAAACAAGTTGGTTGTTGTCCCATACTCAATGCTTGGCACAAGTCTGGTGTCTACATTGTTGCGTTTGCTCTTCCTTACACTCTTGCTGACCCAAGACTAAAATTCCCACAAATCTGCACACAACAAAGGCGAAAATGTCTGATCCATACGCAGCATTAAGACGGTATCGGGAGCAATTCGAGGACGCTGAAGCACTTTTCGACAGCGGCGATGTAGCTGGCTGCATATCGGCAGCTAAACGCAACATAACGTAAGTGGCAGCAACAAAACAACTACCAGAATCAGTATTGCGACTGATTGTTCCCAGTGACACAGCTCTTCCGCCGTTCTACATCATCAGAAACTGCATACTTCTCACCGCCGCTATGGATAACTGGGACGATGGCAATGACTGGAGGCTCGCCGCGGTAAAACCCTCGATGTACAGACTGAATGTGGAATATGCGCTGACTTCAACCGTGGCAATTCAGGAGAGTACCTTCCGTAACGTATTACGAAAAGCAACGGAAAAGAATGATACCGATTCGCTCGCTGCCCTACAAGATCTCCGTGAGGAGCTTGACTGGTTGGCTGAGCAGCGAGACCAATATCTCCAGGAATACAGGGCATGGATGCTTGAACAAGACGGAGAGGAAGATGACGACGAGACGGACTCGGAAGCAGATGAAGTTGAGCTAGACGACAGCGAGGAGGAGACGGATATGGAAGCCGAGGGCGTTAAGTTAGGCGTTCTTCCGATCCGCGGACACCAAGCTTCCACGGCGCTTGTTATGGGCACTGTGCCAGTAGGAGAAGATAAGGAAGATAACAAGGGCCGAGAAGAAGCCACTGCTGGCGACGAGGAAGATGAAGAAGGGGGTGCGGGAAAGATGCCAGGAGGCGGAGAGCAAGCAAGCACTGGCGATGGTGGCCAACTGCCCAGAACGGCGGGAGTTGATCGAGAGGACGAGCGTTCTGCCGGTATTGCAGCGGTCAGATTCCTTTTCGATTGCCAGTCGTACATGCCAGAGCACATGCGAGCCCAGTTCAACCAGGCGATCCTAACATTTCAGGAGCTTGAAGTTGCCATGCGCAGCATCATCAGCACATCTCCCACAGCTTCTGCAGCTACTACAAGTTCCACGACTGCATCGCGCATCAAGCTTTTCGAAGAGTTCAAAGTTAGCATGGTCGAATGGTTCCAGCACAAGGAAAGATCATCTGTTACGGCTAAAGAATTGGACAATACTACGCTGGCCGAATGGCAAGGATTGAATCCGAGAATTCAAGCTACCTTTGCCCGACAGGACATCCTCTCCTTCTGCCGAGAGCTCGACGGCAAAGATGGTTTCAGGTATGCACCCTATTGACGATTCTCCGTATCAGTACATCTGACACTGACGTTATCAGATACCACAAGAACGGTGTGCTCACTTACAAGCCCTGAACATCCTTAGGGATGCGTTGATAGCTGGCTGTGCGAAGATAGCTTACCGCTTGCAGAAGTGGAGCTGGACTGCGCGAGAGGGATATCATAGACTCGGACGCGTCGTCGGGGGCGTATGGGATAGACTTTCTTCGTAAAAGATCGAAAACGACAGGTACATGTGCTAGGATATCCAGACTTGTCAGACATTGGTCGTGCAGCAGTCGCGACCTCAAGCCACCACGTGCCATCGGCCATCGGTGTTGCCGCCTCCGATTCCGAGGCAAGCCCCGCCCCGCCTCTAGGTACCTCCTCTCGATGTACTCGTGATGCATGAACCGGTTCCGCAACATCACTACTGTTTGACTCCGCTCGTATTCCTTCAATTAACTCTCGCATTGTTTCGCAGCATACAAACAGACTCACAGCATACATAAAGAGCACCATTCTACAGCTTAGCATACCTCGAGGTTCCAGGCGCCGACATCCGGTGGCTTACGAGATCTTTTTCTAAGCAAAGTGGTAGCGAGCTCTGCGCTTTGCAAGCACGCGGAACCACCAAGCTCCGTTATTCTTCCCTGACGCGACTACTTTAAGAGAAGGCGATACCAGGCGAAAGTAATTGGACCAGAGTCATACCCCAAACATGCCGGCAGAACTACAGAACGGGCTCCCTGCCCACGGCACCAATGGTGTCAACGGCAACGCGACGGAGCTCTCAAATCCCACACCCGCACATCCAGCCTTCGACTCGATACCAGATGTCATACAAGCCTTTGGTACGTGTCTGCGAGCATCATCAGCTTCAACAGTCACCCTACCCCTCACCCCGCACAACCCTTACTAACGCGCCTTCCAGCAAACGATGAATTCGTGATCGTCCTTGACTCACCCTCGCGCGAAAACGAAGGCGACCTGATAATCGCAGCCTCGGCCCTCACACCCTCGAAAGCCTCCTTCATGATCCGCTACTCAAGCGGCTACATCTGCGCGCCCCTCCCTGTCTCCCGCGCCGCAGCCCTGCACCTCCCTCAAATGGTCGCCGACAACGCCGATCCCAACCGCACCGCCTACGCCGTCAGCATTGACTCATCCGACGCGTCCGTCACAACCGGCATCTCAGCGACAGACCGCAGCTTAACATGCCGCATGCTCGCCGACCCCAGCGCTAAAGCTAGTCACTTCAGGAGACCGGGTCATATATTGCCGTTGCAGGCGCGGGATGGTGGTGTACGTGAAAGGAGAGGGCATACGGAGGCGGCGGTTGATCTGTGTCGGTTGGCGGGCAAACAACCTGTGGGTGTTATTTGCGAGTTGATTACCGATGGCGAGGAGGTGCCCGGTAAGCCGGAGTTGATCGGTGGGGGCATGATGAGGAGGGATGATTGCTTGGCTTTTGGCAAGAAGTGGGGGATCAAGGTGTGTACGATTGACGATATGGTGAGGTATATTGAGGAGAATGATGGGGTCCTGGGTACGACGTCATAGTTTGAGGCGGGCAAGGGACCGGGTAAGGGTGCGATTATGAGAGGAAGAAAATTGGTGAGGTGATTCAATTGGCATAGATGTACGTGGGCGGTATTGGCGCACTTGGAGGATACATGCGCTTTAGTCACAGCATGGAAGAACACCTGATACTGTACTATTAGATACTCCAATCCAGCGCAAGCTTCTCTATCCAAAAGCCATAAAACCCGTACACATGTCATTCTATACACTCCGACGAAAATGAGCTCCGCCCACGCTTTTACCATGGAAAGCAAACACAACGTTCCCACCCATTGCGAACAGCACAGTACGCGCCGAAGCCAGGCAAGCAAACCACCTCCCAGCTAAACGCTCCAGACGATAAGACCGCCCTCATCCACTCCCCCCATAGAAATCCTCAAACTTCCCCACCACCTCCTGCATAACCTCTTCCCTAACCGCAAAATTCACCCTCGCCCAACCCCCATCCTTCTCCACCCCATTGAACGCCCGCCCAGGCGCAACCTTAATCCCACCCCTACCTTCCAACTCCCTCCAGAAAGCGTTCTCCTCCTCTCCTGTCCTAGTCTTCTTTGCTAGTTTAGCAGCGAGGAAGGGGCCGTGTGTCGGTACCACGATTTCGATATCGTGGCGTCGGAGGAAGGAAGCGAGCATGTTGTAGGAAGCTGACAAGCGGGATGTGATTAGAGTGAGAAGGGAGGGGAGGAGGGATGATGTAAGCAGGGAGGTCAGATAGATGGTCGAGAGGGAGGAGGGGTGTGTAGCCGTCAGTGCCAGGGAGGAGAGGAGAGGGGTGTTTTGTTGGGATACCACGCAGCCCTACGGATACTCGTGTCAGCTCCTGATCATTCCCACACATATGTCTTCGATGGATGAGAAGAGAACTTACGATGCTCAGTCCGCCCAATCCGAACAATCGACTCGCACTCCACACTACATGCACACGACTCGGATCGACCTTGACCGCGCCCTCCGGCACTAACGGTTCCGTCAAGGACAATGCACTTACAAACGTCTCACCACCTCTTTTCCCCCTTCCTCTTCCTGCAATACCCCCACCCCCGTCTTTACCATCTAACGCCATCAACCCGGCCCCCTCATCAACAATCAAATGCAACCCCCTCTCCTGACAGAATTCCAATAACTCCCGTAATGCTTCTCGGGGGTAGCATCGGGAGAGTGGATTGTTTGGGTTAGACAACAAAACAGCTTTAATCCGCGTTCTGTAGTCGGAGAAGTCGTAAGCGGCTTGCAGCGAGGGGACGAGGTAGTTGTCCCAGTGGATGTGGGTTGGTGGGATGACGGGGATGGGTGTTACGTTTGCTTTTCGCTTCAGTAAGAGCGAGAGGGTGGCTGTGGTTATATCAGTCAAAGAGGGCAATTTTGTAAGTGAGGATTAGACAAAGTTATGGATATGACCGGGGATACTAATGTGGGAGACTTACGACAACTCGGACCAGGAACAAGCACACTATCCCCATCGTCGCATACAGCATGGATCACGTTCTCAATTGCGTCCGTAGTCCCAGCTGCAAGGACGATATGCTCACCCCTCACAGCATGAACAGGCCTGAAATACGAGTTGAAGAACCCCGCAAGAGCACTCCTCAACCCTAAATCGCTGCCGTTAACAGATTCCGTGGGGGACGTAAATGCCTATCGTAGATTCATACCAAATTAGTACATGCGCAAAACTATACTTGTATAAACGCATCCCGACGATCTTCGCGACCGAAATCGGAAACAACATACCTCAACCGCCCCCACATCCCTCACAACATCCCCCAGAAACTTTTGTAGCTCCGGATACAGCACCTCATTCCCCCCACAACTGAGATCAATCGTATTGCCAAAAGGATCAAACGACGCTGGTGCGGTACCCTCAAGCGCAGGCGCAAGCCCGTCGAGCGCGTTCCGCGCTCGTCGCGACAGTCCCGGGTCCATCATGGCTGAGACGGAGAGGTGGCGCGTGCTGCGCATTCAGGATGCCGTATGCGGTGCGTGATGTATGATGTACAAGAACGAATTGAGATGGCTACTGTGGGGAAAGCGACCCTGCAGCACGTCGCTGTCGCAGATGAAAAACGTTGCGATCTCATTGTCCGGGGTGTGCTGCCAAGGGTGGTCGCTGCGGTCTGCGGCACAGTTATTTGTGAGGACCCAGGGGAGTGGTAACCTGGGGCTGACGCGACGCGTCTTGTTGGTTGGGCAGGCGGCGAGGGACGGGTCATAGCTTCGATACGGTGACGGGATGGGTGGTTTGGAAAGAAGCAGTAGAGAGAAGAGCATAAGTTCTAATATTCGCGGTAATGAACAAAAGCGTGTGGGGAATCTCTGAAGAAGGGAAGGAAGGGAAAAACAATGTCTCCCCTCTGCACCAAGACCATGCAAGTCATACAGCCTGCACGCGTGCTTTTCTCCCCGGTCTATCCTAAGCCTCATGCCCTGCCCTGCCTAACACTATTACACAAATGCATGCCCCAAGCCAGACCAACGCCGTTGAAGATGCTCACGGATAAATGCATGCAGAGCGCATGCAGGCACCCTATTTAAAGGAAAAACCGAACACCCTAGAGCCTACATTAAGATAAAAACTTGTGAAGCTGGTGGCTTGACGGCGACGTAGGCTCCTAGGTGTTCAGTTTTTCCCTTGTATGGGGTGCAGGGTCCAAGATAAGCGATGAGCTACGAAGCCCTATGAACGCCCTCGAGAAAATCTGTGTGTGCCCGTCTCGATTTTGGGTGAAGCGCGGCAATTCGTTCGTGCAAGCGCAAAGATGACTGCTCGTCGAGAAAATGAGGTCGAATCGGCAAGTCGCTATTCTATTGCTGTGGCCGTCCGATGCCTTGCTTAGCCTGAGGAATTGTAAGCTTCGTCGTTAAACGTAAAACAAAGACGGCGGTCTTCTTCAAAGTGGGAGGTGTCGGAACTGACCTTCATCATCTCAATCCTCTGCTTGAGATTTTGGGTAACCTCTGCTGCGCGCTTCCAGCTTTCCGCACCAGATGCTCCTGCAGAAGGTACCCGTTGAGCTGTTCCGTTCTCTGTTGGGCTCCTGCCATCACGCGACATCGACGACAGACCATCTGCTCGTGGACTTAGTTTTCCGCTCAAGTTACTGCCAGGGCGAGATAGAGAATCAAAGTTCTCCTTACCATCGCCGCCCGGGCTTCCTGGCCCACTGGCAAAACTCCTCTCTCGCCTTGGGTGCATGGCCCGACTGCCATAGCCAGAGTCACCGAACTGCGCGCCGTTGGTGTTACCAACTCCGTTGTCAGTGTATATCTGGTCTCCGACGTCTGTAGCTGGCGGAGAATTTGAACGCGCCTGCCTAAGGAGTTCGCGCTTCAATCTATCAATCTCGCGGCGCTGGTTCTGTACTGTCTGTTCGGACGCTTCAAAGTCTGAGCGCGCACGGACGAGCTGCGTCTCCTTTGCCTTTATCGAGAGCACGTCGCGGGTGTGATCTTCGATGAGCTGAGCGTTCTGGTTCTGGAGCTCATGGATCTGCGAAGTGAGGTTTGTCCTTTCC